ATATCTACTTTGTTCAGAGTTTTTATCATGAAGGAATGTTACATTTTACCAAGTGTCTTATATGTGTGATTTTTAAAATATTTTTATTTTATTTGTATGAGTGTTTTGCCTGAATGTGTGAACATGTATCACATATGTCCATGGTGATCAGAAGAGGGCATCAGATCCTTTGGAACTGGAATTACAGATGATTGTGAGCCACTGTTTGGATGATGGGAACTGAACCCATTAGATGCTTTTTCTACAGCTATTACAAGATCATAATTTCTGTCTATGTGGTATGTCACATAATGATTATGCATGTTGAATGATCATTCATCTCTGGGATGAATTTCACATACTCATGGTGAATATTCTTGCTCACTTGTTACTGTAAATAGTCATTTTAATGTGCTCTTTGACTGGATTGCTAGTGTTTTCTTGAGAATGTTTACATTTGTTCAGCAGAGATACCTGTCCTGACTTTTTTGTTTGTTTTTTTCTCTGATTTGATAACTACAGAGCATAAGCCGTTTATATCTTTACTAGGCAGACTTAAAAGAAAATTAATAACTACATTAATACATTGAGGTAATGGACTTTACTTTGGCAGGCCTGGTACTGGTTTGTAAATCTAAGGCTTGAATGGAGTTTGTCTTCCTCCTCTAAACAGAGGGTTGTCTCTTCCATGACATGGTGCCTGGAATTGGGGGTGGGATTACACAGACAAATTTCTCCTTCCTTCCATCTTCAACATTTCTTACTAGAAGTGATATATATCTCCCATTAGCCATGGGCTATCAACTTATCATTTTTGTTTCTATAACTCTTGTGAAGGTAATTTGTGGATTTCAGCTATTAAATTGATATTTCAGTGGGGAACGAATCTCTAGAGTCTTTCTCTTAGTGCTTTCTTGCTGTGCCGTCTATAAGTACATCTTGACACCCCCCCCCCCAGTCCTCTTCTCCTGTGATTTCAGCTATGCTTCTGTGTGTTCATGTAAAATTAGTAAAATTATCTAAAAGCTCACTGGCTTTACTGCAGCGATGAGGTTCAACCCTGGACTTTCTACACTCCAGGCAAGTGCTCTACTCCTGATCTTTATCTGCATCCCATAATTTAAAAAGATTTTTATTTTATGTGTATGCATGTATTGCCTGCATGTAGGTAAGTGCACCTGTGTCGTGCAGTGCCTATGGAGGACAGAAGAGGCTGTTGGATCCCCTCGAACTGGAGTTATGGACAGTTGTTAGCTGGAGTTGTTAGCTGGGATTCAAACCTGGGTCTTCTGCAAGAACACCCAGTGTTCTTAACTGATGAGCAGATCATCTCTCCAGCCTGATTTTTTTTAATGTGGTTATTGGATTTAGTTTTTGTCTCTGCTTTTCATTTTACTTAGTTGTTTCTGTGTCTTCAGATTCAATAAATTTTTCATATACAATGATTTCTCTGCTTTTGATATCTAACATTTCCCTATTTAACATACTTGCCTTTCCTCTGTTTTCTCGAATATATTTCTGAACTATTGTAAATGTCTCAGTCTACAAATTATATCATTTGAATAATTTATGATTTTTAATTTTTATACATATGAATGTTTTGCCTGCATGTATCTAAATGAACCTGTGCATGCAATGCCCATGGAGGCCAGAAGAGGGCATCAATGAATCCCTGGAACTGGAGTTAAGGATAGTTGTCAGCTGATATGTGGGTGCTGGGAACCAAATCCCAGTCCTCTGCAAAAGCAGCCAATGCTTTTAACTTCTGAACTATCTCTCCAGCCTCTCATTTATATTTTCAGTTAATTTTTTCCCCTCATGAGTCTTATTAGAAGCTCATTTTGTGTCTAGTAATTAAAATTTTTTTTTTACATATATGTGTTTTGAGTAGAGGGAAGGTATGTGTATGGAGGTCAGAGAACTACTTGCCTACTTGCAGGAGTTAGTTCATCTTTCTACCATGTGGGTTCTAGGGATCAAACTCAGGTCATCAGGCTTGTCAAAGCAAGTGCTCTTACCTAAAAAGCCATCTCGCTGGCCCAGTATCTAGTAATTTTTGATTAATGATTGACGTCATACATTGTGAATTTATTTTGTGAGTGCAAAATAGTTTTATATTAGTAAAAATATTCTTGAGTTGTATTCTCAGACATGGTTGAGTTATGCAGGAACAATTTGATGCTTTAAGGTTTGCTAGGCAGGACCAGTGCAGCACTCAATCTAGATTAATTCCTCCCACAGCTGATATTCCCAGCCTTAATGGAGTGCTTGGCTTCTGAATATTTCAGTTGTATTTTTTTCTGGAGGAAGTCTTTTTTTGTGTGTGTGTGTGTGTGTGTGTGTGTGTGTGTGTGTGTGTTGTATATATATGTGGTGTGTACATGTGGGTGCATACATGTGCATGTTTGTATATGTATATACATGTATGTGTGTATGAGTGTAGGTCCAAGGTTGACATTAGATGTCTTCCTCAGTTGCTCTCTACCTTTAGTTTGTTGAGACATGGCCTCTCAGTGAGCATGGTACTCATCCATTTAGCTAGGCTGGCTGGCCAAGAAGCTTCAGGGATCTGCCTGTCCCTGCCCCCTACCCCCAACCCTTAGCCCTTAGGCTTGGATTATAAGCACATGTTTCTGCCATGCCTGTCTTTTTATGATTTCTGGGGATTCAGGCCTTCATGCTCGTGCAGCAGGTACTTTTAAGTATTAAAAAAAATTTTTTTCTTTCTTTTGGGTTTGTGTGTATATGTTTTAAGCAGGAGGTTAAGCATAGTGATTTCTCCTCTTGCCTAGACTATCTTTTTTTTCTTTTAATTTTTTGTTTTATGTTTATGTGTATATTGCCTCAATGTAGGTAAGTGCACCCATGTTGTGCAGTGCCCATAGAGGACAGAAGAGGCTGTCGGATCCCCTGGAACTGGGGTTATGGACAGTTGTTAGCTGCTTATGTGAGTGTTGGGATTCGAGCCTGGGTCTTCTGCAGGAACAACCAATGTTCTTAACCACTGAGCCATCTCTCAAGCCCCACCTAGACTATCTTTTTAAAATAAATTGTTTTTGTTTTTGTGAGAAAAGCTCTTATAAAAAGTTGTTATGTAGCCAGTACTGGACTTGAACTCTTTCTTGACTTCCAACATTCTGGGATTATAGGCTTCTATCCCTGGCAAAAAATTTCTCTTTAAAAATTGAGGTTCAGGGCTGAAGAGATGGCTCAGCAGTTAAGATCCAATACTGCTCTTGCAGAGGACTCAAGTTTTGTTCCCATTACCAATACCAGCTGGCTCACAACAGCCTGTAACTCAGTTCTAGGGGATCTGATGTCTGGCCTCCCTAGGCACTTGTGCTCACATGTACATATTCCCATGAAGCACACACAAAATTAGAAATGAAATCTTTAAAAAAAAAAATGCAAACATGGGCCAACAAGATGGCCTAGAAGGTAAAAGCTCTTGCTGTACAAGTCTGACGACCTGAGTTCAATCTCTGGAATCCACAAATAGCCACTTGGGGGGGGGGTGGAATTACAACTGTAATCCCAGCACTCCTAGGATGAGCTGGGAGGTGGAGACAGGAGGAAGCTAGCAGGCCAGCTAGTCTGGAATACACAAAGCAGCAGAATTAAAAGACCCTGCCTCAACAGTGTGGAATGAGAGAACCAACTCTCAAAAATCATCCTCAGGTGCCTGCACTCACATGATCTCACACATGTCATACACATACACACCAAAAAAATTTTTTTTAAGAATGTAAACTGATTACAGATAATGGATATTTTAGAAATTGAAATGGACAGATATGGAAATAAAAATCACCATTAACACATCTCCTACCATCAGCTCTTGCTAGTATAATAAGCATTAAGAAAGAGTTATGAACTAAATGGCAGCTTAATCATGGAGCAGATGTTTAGGGATCCATCCATAAGCTATATATATATGTGATAAATGCATAAGAGAAGTTTTGTGGTGCAGATGCAGGGCATTACACATGAAAGCCCAGTACTCTCTAACTGAGCTGCATCCCTACTCCCTCATAAGATACTATTTTATTCATACCTCTGATATATGGGAGAAGAGGGTCTGAGCACCAAGTTTAAAAACCTGTGTAATTCTTCTGATCAACTGGATTTGAATAGATGGGACAACTGGATAACTATCAGTGGACACTAAATGATAACAGTCAGTAAAGTGTGTGTTTGTGTGTATATTTCAAAATGTGCTTTTTAAATTTCCAGTAAACATCAGAACACAAAACAGTTGTAGTGGAAAACAGATTTAAACAAGTTAAGATCTTTTTATTGTGCTTCAGGTCCTGCAGAAATTAGCTCACACAAAAGGGGAGAGGTATTTATTATAAGAAATTGTATGCACAGAATTCAAAGACAAGGTCCTTTTGCGACTCAGGAAAAATTAGCTTAATTGCTCTGAGTCTTCACAAAACCTATCTCTGCTAAGATTATCTCAAATCTTTCTTACTGTAGACACATTTTTCCCACCTTATCCTAAATGTGGTAACTTGCCACACCTCCAGAGTTAATGAAGTTTAGATACTTTGGATTCAGCTCTTGGTGGATAAAGTCCGAGTCTCAGTTTGGGTATGTTGTCGAACAGTGACTATGGAGGTAATACCACACTTGAGAGCTGTGGCTGTTTCTACTAAAGCAGTGCAGATGTTGGAAAGGAAGATCCCAGAAAAGAGGATGGAAAGATAAATTGAGTTATTCAGTTACACAGCTTTCCAAATGTACACTCAGACCATAAACATAGTGTGTTATTTGTTATATTGACAATTTTATTAGTTTTCATCACTTTGTACTTAGTACTAGAGCTCTCTATAAATGTGTCCTATCCCTGAGTTTTTAGAGGGCCATGTCCACTTTTTTTTAATCTTTTACATTTAATGCAGCTTTATGCATAGTAACTTTTTGCTAAATGAAAGTGACAAGGAATAATTAATTACATTATTTTTCTAAGCTGGATGGAATATTATAAGCTCTGTTCTCACCTTTTCTTTTCCTTTTAGTGGTATGCAATCTGCATTAGTGATGTTGGAGACTACGAAGGCATCGAAGTTAAGATCGCAAATGCCTACATTATCAAGGAGCACTTTGAGGTACTGATTCAAATTCATGAATTTAAAAAGTCAATATTTTTATGAGTGGATATGTTTTGGTTACTAGTTATTAAATAGCTCTATGTCACTACATAGTGACATAAAGCTAGGCACGTTAATGGTACTTGTTGGCCCAGCTGCTTGGGAGGCAGAGGCATGAGATTGCTTGATCCTAGGAGTTTGGGGCTAGTCTGGGCAACATAGCAAGACCCATTTCATTTTAAAAAGCCAAAACACCAAAGCTCAGTGGGCTAGAGCAATAGCAGATTTTTTTGTTTCTTCTAATTTTCTGGGTCAACTTGAGGTAGTAGTGCTTCTACCTTGCTTGGTATAGCTAAGGTAACTTATAAGCATCACTTGCCTGGGTGTTCAGCTAGGACTGGAATGTTCAAGATGGCCTCTTGTCTGTTCTAGTTGTTCCTCACTTGTCTTTTTATTTTTTAAAGGTCTAGCCCAGGCTTCTCTACAGTATGGAAAATGTCTTAAAAAATGAGTGTTCCAAAGGAAAAGTTGAAGTTTGCAAATTTTATCAAACCATTTGTAGCACAATTGTTAACATTCTGTTGAATTAGAAAATTCACATGGCTGAGTCAGTTTCTGTGGAAGGTCTTGAATATCTGAAAATATGGTTAAAATGTAATCTAACACAACTGGCATATCACAGTAGTAATAATTCAATTTATGATTATGTTGTGTGTATTGTATGCTGTTTCAATATTTCTCCCTCAAGTTAAATTACTTATTTATAGTAAGCTCTTTGTTAGATGCTACAAGTTATGCAGAAATCTCTTTCATACTCTATATGTACACTATTTAGTTATTCTCACATTCAACAAAACTACCACAGGAACTTTACCATCGTTTCATATCTTTTATATTTGTAGATCATCTCAAAACTACACAGGAAGAACAAGAGATGTAAGCATAGATATGCTGAGTATGCTATTTATAGCTCTTTAGAATTTCATGGTTATAGGTCTTAGTTCCTAGCTTATATACTTACAAGTGAAAGATAACACTGGACTATGAATCCGTATACCTACCTTCTTTAAGCATCATTACATTTTATAATTTAATCATTTATATGTTCATGTTTTAATATATGTGAATTCAAACTGCACTATAGAATTAGTGGTACCTTATAGTACAAATTGGAGGCAGTTTTTCTTTCTTTAGTGGTATATAAAACAATAGTGTGACATACCTGTTTTTATTTGCTTATTTATTTGTTTTTTTATTTTGAGACAGGTTCTTGCTGTGTAACCCGGACTGACCTCCAACTCATGTTCTTCCTAAGTCAGCCTCTCAGGGTCTGGGATTACAGGCATATACTGTGTATGGAAGCATACCATTTTTGGTATCTTAAATTCGATAAAATACAGTAAGATTACTCAGTATCTCAGAATACAGAAATACATCAGTTTCAATATCAGGAATGAATGTGGAGAATATTTTAGAGTATACTTTGCAGTTTTGAAGAACTAGTGAAGGAGCACAATGTGTATGTGTGACTCATTCATGTAGAGTGTTTGCTCAGCATGTTCAAGGCCTGGGCTTAATCCCTAGCACTGGAAAAAGTAAGTGAATGTACAGATTATAAAAGATGACCACAGTGCAGTATATAAGCTTTCAAATATATATGTTTAAATATACTAAATATGGCTATTTATTTACATACAGGAATGATCATTTATACTACTATTTTTAGATTCCATTTTACATCTTAAAGTAGCAAGAAATTACCATTTTAGGGCTGTTTTTGAAAGACAAATGACAAGGACTATAAGAGTCCTTTCCTTCCTTGCTTGAAAGTAGTCCTTACCAAGTCCTCCAATAGTAAAACTTGGGACTGCGGATGTAGCTCATTTGGTAGAGTGCTGGCCTAGCATGTAGGAAACTGTGGTTTTGGCCCCTGTCATGGCATAAAACTGGGTATGCCTATAATCCCAATACCTCAGAGATAGAAGCAGGAGGATCAGAAGTTCATAGCAAGTTTGAGGCGAGTTTGGGCTACAGGAGACTGTGTCACAAACACAATTTACAAAGAAAACTACACCCATACTGGGGATGGTTACACACTTGTAAACCTCATATAATTCAGGGCTACATAGTACAATCCATGTCTAAAACTAATTAAATGACATTTTGCTATTAATTATACCACTGTATTGAAGGATAAGTAAAAGTTAGGTCTATATTGATTCTTATTAATCTGAAGATTTTCACCAAGTCATATCTGGCTAGCCTTATTCTACATTTTATCTCTGCCATGACTAATACCAATCAGATCTTAGTACCTGATACACTGTATTATGAAAAATGCAAACAGTGATGGTCGTGACAGAAAATATCACATTCTTTGTTTATTTCATTTTCACCGTAATGCTACAGAATATAGATATATATGTATATGTGCACACACGCATACACATGTGTGTGTGGTGCTGGAGATCAAACCCAGGGCTCCAGTGTGCTAGGTAAATTCTCTACCACTGAGCTATATTCCACAGTCTTTAATTTTTATGAAAGAAAAAACTACGCTTCAGCAAAAATACAGAATTTGCTAATGTCAAAACGGTCAAAGTCATTGAGCTGTGATTTGAATCCTGGCAGTCTTTCTTCAGTCATGCTCTTAACCACTGTAAGCATTTGAAATCGTGCACTTCGCCTACCACCAAACTTTATATGAAAGCATGGGCTTACAGAAAAGCATAAATGAGGAAGTCTTAATTTAAAAAAGAATTTAATTAGAATAACCCTTATTTTATGAGATTTCCCTAGTATTTTTCAACAAAATAGCAGATAAGAGGACTCATTACTTTGAAGCCATTCTGTAGTTTAAGCTTTACATTAATTGATATAGTAAATAGAAAGTAGGGAGATTTTATCAACATACTGCTATTACTATATGTAATATTCTCTGTGAATAAATAGCATTTTTACTTTGGTCATAGAAAGGGAAGTTGAACAAAATCTTTGTATGCAATAAGAGACTTTTAAAAATTATATACTTCTAGGTCTGTTTTTTAAGGGAAGAATAAAAGGAAAAAAATATTTGTTTTCTTTTAGGATTTGACAAAAATATTTATCTTTAATTTTGAAGAAACAAGGAAAGCTGTAGTTTATTAAGCTATTTTCAGAATTACATTAATTTGTATATTTTGTGCATTTTCTCATCATATAAATTTCTGAACCTTGTAAACTACATCCTTAGTAGAAGTCTTTAATAGTGCATTGAAAGAAATTTAACTAATTAAGAATCATGGGGCTGGGGAGATGTCTGTATAAAGTGCTTTCCATACAAGCATGAGGACCTGAGACTAGCTACCCAGTACCCATGTAAAAAAGCCAGGTACAGAGGCGTGCACTTGTAATTTCAGCATGGGATAAGGCAAAGACAGGAGGATCTCTGGGGCTTGCTAGCCAAACAGTCAAGCTAATCAGTGAACACCAGGTTCAGTGAGATTCCCTGTCTATAAAAAACAAGGTGGAGAGAGATTAAGGGAGACACCTGGCTTCAACCTCTGACATCCGAACCCCGCCCCCCCACCACCACCAGGCAAGAGAAGGAAAATTGGTATTGTGATTAAATGCAGGGTGGGGCTGGAGAGATTGCTCAGTAAAGAGTGCTTACTGCTCTTTCAGAGGACCAAACTTTAGTTTCCAGCACCCACATTGGGCAGCTCATAACCACCTGCAGCTCCAGCTCCAAGGCACCTGATGCCTTCCTCTGGCTTCAGTGGGCACCTGCACACATGTGACATTCACTCATACGCAGACATACACATAAAATAAAAATAAAAAATTTTAAATGCAGGGTGTGTTTTTTTAAATCACTGTTTCTTTGGTGTTTATAAAGATTTTATTTATTAACAGAAAGCAATTGAACTGAACCCTAAAGATGCTACTTCAATTCACCTTATGGGTATTTGGTAAGAAAATTTCTTTAATATTTCAGTGCTATTTCCTTATTTTATAGTATGTATAAATGCCTTATTTTACTATATATATATGTGCAAAATGAAGTACTTAAAATACTATTTAACAGAGTTGAGTGTTAAGTCCATTAAGTAGCACTTTGTATTGTTAGAACATACTAAATTTAACTGGACATGGTGGTGCATGCCTGTAATCCCAGTATTTAGGAGGCAAAGGCAAGAAGATCAGGAGTTCAAGTTCATCCTCACCTACACAGTGAGTTTGAGGTAGCCTAGGCTACATGAGACTGTGTCTCAGAAACCCCCTTCTCTACCTCCAAAAGAAAGCATAAAGTAAAAAGATCTTAAAACTTGTTATAGACCTTTAAATTTCCTTCCTTGGGAAAGACTATTCTCATTGACCATGCTAAGTAAAATTGCATTACTATAAATACTTTAGTAGGACACCATAGGAAGGTCTTTGTATCATCAAACTATATCAGATTGAAGCTTGATTAATCTGAGGAACAGTATAATTTTTCTTCCAATTTCATTGTGACTTTGTGTTCAGTATAAGTAATTATTTTGCATACAAGTGTTTTAAATATCTGCTGGTTAAGAGTCTTAAGATAGCAGGCTGGGTTGTTTCCTTTGGGAAAATAGTCTGCAGAGCTAAATATTCATTGTCATCTAAAAGTTCTGCATCAAACTCTTCTACAAAAGAAATGCTTTTCAGATTAAACTAACTTAATTACTGAGGATTAATAATCAAAGGATAGCCACTTAATCAGTAAGCAAACATGAGATACAGTCTGTCCAAGAAGTGTAGTCCTACTCAAAGATCTCAGATTTCTTCCCGTTTCAGAAAATTGTAAAGATTTTTGGATATTAATCATTTGCCCCACTCTTTTAAGAATGGATACAAATTTTTGGCTATTATTGTTATTTATGTATACTACATTTAGTTTTGTCATTAAAAATATATTAATTTTTTGTATGTCAAACATTGGAGTAATAGGCTGGTGTCATGCATGGAATAAGTCCTTCAACAGGGATGATGAGGCAGGAAGATTAGGAGTTTAAGATTAGCCTGGGCTACATAACACAACCCTATTCAAAAGAAAACCAGAACCAAATCGGAATAATGATCTTGTCTCAGTTGTAAAGAACAGACATAGTATCAGTACCTGGCACAGAGTGAGCACTATACTACTGCTTACTATTTACCTTTACTCACAAAGTAGACCCAAATCCTGCATCAGGTCAATCTCTAGGTATTAATTTCAGTATGAATATTAATCAGCAGTATTTCCTGTAAAGTTCAAATTGTTTAAAGTTATAGTGGAACATTCTTTTTATAGTATCTATTAAGATGTTTGGTTCTCTTAGTTAAAAAGGTACAATTTGAATTGTATAACAGCATAATGCTGTTTTATTCCCCTGTAGGTGTTATACATTTGCTGAAATGCCTTGGTATCAAAGAAGAATTGCAAAACTGCTGTTTGCAAATCCTCCTAGTTCCACCTATCAGGAGGTAGTATGATGTCCTTTGTTAAGTTAATACCAATTTCTTAACTACAGTACCATGCTACAGTGTCCACACATACGGAGATCTGATTCAGTAAAGGACTTGAACAAGTTTCTAATGATCCATTTCAACAATATCACAAAGGCTTACTCCTTACTGTCCAGGACTGGTGAATGCTTTTTTGTTGTTTTTTTTTTTAGGTGAGTGGCTAATAATTCTTTTATATTGCCATCTAATAGCTCATGGCTAAAATGGACCTTCATTTTCTATTTGAAATCTAGAATATGTAAAAGTCATAAAGCAGAATAAGAATAGAGCAACTGTTAACCAGTGTGTTCTAGGTATTCAATATAATAAAAGCCACTTATCTACTTATAAAAACATTACAAATTCTTTTGAGTATGAAAGGCTCATATTCTCCACATACTTTAAAGGCCTTTTACTTTACCTGTAAAAACAATAATTTGAAAGGGATTTGTATATAAGTGTAAGTTTTTTCCTTTGAACTGCCTTTTTAGCCTGTTGGATAAATTTATCTTGAGTTTACTACCAGTCATAAATTTTCAAAGTATGAGGAAATTGTCAATTGAAAAATTTCTCCTAATACTTCTCCTGTCATAATAAAGAGTATTTATTATTGCTTGTCCCTGGAATGTATAGTATATAATTTGATGATCATGAACATGGGTTCCATCCCCAGCCAACAATAAAACCAAACCAAACCAAACCTACAGATATCTGTGTGTGTGTGTGTGTGTGTGTGTGTGTGTGTGTGTGACAATGTATAACCTATATATTACTGAATAAATTCACTAATTATATCTAGTTTTTGCTAGAAGTTGCTGACCTAAGAGAAAGACAACAGGTAAATTACAAATGATCAATTTAGCTCTGTACACAGGATAGGTCAGTGCAAGTTCTAAATAGTTACCAAATTATTACAGAAGTGATCCTTATTAAAATCTAATTCTTTGATGATTTAATAGTGTTATATTGAGTTTGGCCATGTTAATCTCACTGTTGAACTGATCATTACTTTGTAACCACTTACTTCCTCTTTAATACTAGGAATAAATCTTTAAGAAAATGTTTTTTTTTTTTTAAAAAAAGAGTCTAATCATTTTCATTCTGTTGTGTTCTTTGTATTTTTAACAGGCCTTGAAATACTTTCACAGGGCTGAACAAGGTGATATTTTAAAATTCCAAGTATTAATATAATTAAAACTATATTAATCTTCAATATGTCATAGAAAATTTCAAACTTTTGCTACTTATTTTATGTGAGTGTTTTGCCTGCATGTATGTAAGTGCATCCATGTAATACGAGGCCATGGAGGTCAAAAGAGGGCATCAGATCATCTGGAACTGTAATTACAGATGTTGTTAGCCTCCTTGTGGGTACTGGGAACTGAATCCAGGTCCTCTAGAAGAGCAGTCAGTGCCCTTAATTGCTGAGCCATCTCTCTGTCCCCATAGAAAAATTTTAAAACAAAGATATTTATTATTAAATGTTGTATACTAGATACTGTAAAAGAAATTTTTAAATTTTTAATTAAAAAATTTATATATGAGTGTTTTGCCTGAGTGTATGTTAGGTGTACCATATTTCTGCCTGTGTGTGGTGCCTACAGAGGGCAGAAGGCAGTATCACATCTGGAACTGGAGTTATGGATAGTTGCTAGCCACCATGTGGGTCCTAGGAACTGAACCCATGTCCTCAGCAAGAGCAGTGCTCTTAACCACTGAGCCATTTCTCCAGTCATAAATTTTAAATTCTTTTTTAAAATTTAATTTTATTTATTATTTTTATGTGTATGAGTGTTATGTCTGCATGTAATGCCTGTGCAAGCAATGCCTGTGGAGGATAGAAGAGGCTGTCGGATCCCCCAGAACTGGAGTTACAGTTATTAGCTGCCATGTGGATGCTGGGATTCAAACCTTGGTCTTCTGCAAGAACAGTCAGTGTTCTTAACTGCTGAGCCATCTCTCCAGCCCCATAAATTTTAAATTCTTTTTAAAAATAAAGATCACCCAAGTAAGAATGGAGCTTAAATACGAAGCTAAAGTTCTGAAATGTTCACTTCATTTAATGTAATTCTTTTTTATGAGGAAGCTTGGACAAACTGACTTTCTAACTTGATATTATATAGTTAGAGGCACTTAAATGGAAACTGGTTAAAACCAGGCTGGTTTTTGCTATGTTGCAGAATACTGTATTCCTTTGTGAAAGTTTCATGTTTTTCTTACTTTAAGAGGACTACAACACTCTTGCTAGTTTAGCCTATAAATTTTCCCTTTAAAAAAAAAAAAAAAACACTGGGGCTAGGGTTGTAACTCAGTGGCACAGTGCTTTGCTAACATGCACAAGGCCGTGAGTTCAGTCCCCATCACTGGAAAAAAATAACAGCAAGGAGACATAAGTGTATGTTACCAATTATACCATAAAACCAATGTAAATATGTTCCTATAATTTTGGGGGGATAGTTCTTACTTCAGGCTGGCTGCTAAGTTTCGATCTCCTTCCTCAGTTTCCTGAACACTGGAATTAAAGGCATACATCACCATTAGTAAAATTTAGTCAGAAAAAATTAACACATATTCTTTGTTAACTTCTAAGCCCTATATACATACACTTAAACAATTTGATAATAAGCAATTTAGTTTTTAAAACTCTAGAGAACTGTTTGAATGTTTAATATTAATTTATAAGTTTTGGTTTATCATATTGTCCTTGATATTTTTTGCTAATGATATTTTACATATCACTATGAATTTAAGAATGAAATTTTCTCAAAGGGATTTAAAACTATAAAATAAACTTTAACCTTCTGACAGGGTTGGAGGTGCTGAATAAAGCATGTCCTCTTCTCATGGAGTTAAAGGAATCCAATCATTTATTAGGTTTCACCTGATCAGTCACTTTCTCTAAGTAAAAGTTTGCCCAAATCTACTTTAGAAGCTCCTCCTGTGTTAGCGACTTCTACATCTCCCACTTCAGCCTTCTTACTCCATACTCACAACATTTGTGTGTGTGTTCAAGGCTGTAAATATGGGTAAGATGGGGCGTTTGTCTTTTGGCCTCATTATTGCATCTTCAATGCCTCACATCTGATGCTTAGCAAACTTGCTAGATGAGGAAGCACATGTATAAGTCAATGCACACATCCTTAAAAATGTTTAAATCAAAGAAATTAAATGATTGAGTTTTATGCAAATAATATAAATTCTATGCAGGAAAAAGTATGCTTATGTTCTTTTCTTTTTTTGTGGTGAATATTGAACCTAGAGTCTGTTGTATGCTAAGCATGTCTATGACTAAGCTATGTTCTCACGCTCAGAAAGTATGCTTTGAATATAGATGGTCCCAGATTATTAGGAGGAAGCTATGTGGTGATACATGCCTATAGTCTCCAGGTCTCAGGAATATGAAGCAGAAGGATTTTGAGTTTAAGTTAGTTCCAGGCTCCCTTGGATTATATAGCCAAAACTTGTCTCAAAAAGAATTAGTAAAGTTAGTGAGAAGATTCTTTTATGCTTTCAATCATAGACTTTTTTTAAAATTACTTTTTATTTAACACTTAGTTGTACATTTTTTTTGGTCTTTTTGAGTTGTACATATATATAGGGCAGTGATAATTCAGTATATACAACATGTAATTATCAAATCAAAGTAATTAGTTATCTCCATTTCCAGCATTTACTATTTCTTTGTTATTAGGAAGTTTTCAACTCTTCTAAGATTTTTAAAATATATAAGCTGTTATAGTTTCCCACTGTGCTGTAGGTAGGTCTTATTCCTCCTTTGTAACTATAGTTGTGACTCCCTTATCCAGCTTCTCCATCCCTTCCCCTTTTCAGTTTCTAGTAACCACTATTCTACTCTCACATTCATAAGCTTTTTGTTTGTACAAGCCAATAATAGTCTTCAGCCTGTTAAAGTCCTATTCATCCTCCAAGATATTTATGTCTCAGTCAATTGTTTTCTTCTGTAGCTTCTAGTAATGCATTTAGTGTGTTCATGGTTCCCTCTATGCTGAAGTATAACAGACAGTTAGGAAATGTTGATGAAACATGTTGTCATAATTTCATTCATTCACTGAACCAAGTATATGTGTTTTTTTTTCTTCTACACTATTCTAGGCACTTAGGATACAGTAAGGAAAAGTAGTTTAAAAAAGAAATTGTTTTTTTTTTATAGCTTACATTCTATCAATACGAAGATATTTTTATAAAATTCTTAAAATGAGACATATATAATAAAGTACCTGTCCCATAGGAGAGGAAATATATGGTAATTACTTGTTATTTTCTTGAAATAACATTTGAACAAAAGAGAATTGTACTAGCCTAATCATTAATTAACCACACAATTTATTATTTAGACCAAAAAATTAAACCTATAAAAACAAAAAAACACCATTTCTCTGGAGCTAAATTTGTTTCTCCTCCTTATGTACAGTGGATCCAAACTTCTACAGCAAAAATTTGCTACTTTTAGGAAAAACATACTTGAAGCTAAACAACAAAAAGCTTGCTGCTTTCTGGCTAATAAAAGCCAAGGATCATCCAGCACACACAGAGGAAGATAAACAGGTAAAACATCTCTAGTAAGGTAAGACAGGCTTTCATTGAGGCATTATTAAATAAAAATGAACTGAGAACTTCTTTAAAAGCATGATTGTCTAAATGCATAGTACTGTTGAAAACACAAGTGTTCATCTGTATATTTATCCTTATGCTTTTACATAGCAAATCTTTAGTTACTGTCACCAAATGTTAGGAGCTGGCCAAGGAATGTTTATCCAAGATGAGATGCCCAAGAATAAGCCTGCTCAGGTTGGTTATAGACCCCTTTCTCACTTCATTCACTCTATCTTTACCATGGATGGATAAAGGATGGATAGATGGATGGATAGATGGATAGATGACAGGTAGGTAGATAGATAGATAGATAGATAGATAGATAGATAGATAGATAATCTGTTCACATACGATTTCTAAAATGGTCAGGAGGTGGAGATAGATGTGAGGTGGAGATTTGAGGGATGTGAACTTAAGTGGACAAGTTCCTAGCATTAAAAAGCACAAATTATAATCCTTTATGGAATGAATGGAACACAAATTTCAGGATGGAAAGATAGATTAAATAGGCAGAAAAATACTACTTGAGTATGGGGTTGCCACCACTGCAAATGATTAAAATTTTTAGCAACTGAAGCTTGAATGCCACACAATGAATGAATGTGAGACTCTATATATCATCACTACCAAGAAATTTCATTCATGTCCTATTTTGTTTTCTCAAAACTCCTAGAAACCATGTTTTATAAAGTTAAATTTCGCAAGTTAATGTCTAAGTTGTACTATTTATAATATTTTTTTTCATTTTAGATACAGACAGAAGCTGCTCATTTGCTTACAGGTTTGTGACAAGAACTGAGAACTTTTCAGAGAAGAAAACAACTTACCTAATTCCTTGCCTTTTCATTGAAATATAAAGATGATACATTAACCATAATAGTTCTATCACTTTTTTTCCACCTCAGTACTTTTTTTTTTTTGTCTTTGAGACAGGGTCTCCTTGTAGCCCCAGCTGTCCTGGAACTCACTATGTAAACCAGGCTGGCCTCGAACTCAAAAGACCTGCCTGCCTTTGCCTCGCAAGTGCTGGGATTAAAGGCGTGCACCACCACACCCGGCCACCTCAGTACTTTTTTTTAAAAAAATTATTTTTATTTGATATGTATGAGTGTTTTGCCTGTATGTGTATAAGTGCACCTGTGTTGTGCAATACCTGTGGAGGACAGAAGAGGGTGTTGGATCCCCTGGAACTGGAGTTATGGATGGTTGTTAGCCACCAAATGAGTGCTGAGATTTGAACCTGGATCTTCTGCAGGAACAATCAGTGCTCTTAACTGCTGAGCCTTCTCTCCAACCCCTACCACAGTACTTTTATGTATGAACAGTTAACAGATATACAAAATTCTAGGTTTCTTCACAAGAAACAGGATAAAAGAAACTATCATACTTTCCTAAGAGTGCTAGGAATATGTTTTCCTGGTTCAAACAGATTATTTTACATTAGGGACACCAATAGTAAGTACAGCATGGTATGAGATATCTCATTACTGATCACCTCAAGATGAGAGGTTTTCAAGAAAATAAAACTTTGTGGAACAGGTAGCAGATGGGGAAGTGGGTTTTCAAGTTGGAATTGTCTGAAAGTTTCTATCTTGGAGAGCTGGTGGAGTAGTTATGATGTTCAGAGTTCCTAGTATAAAGTGATGCCTGCAAAAGCAAAAAACTCAGGTCAGGAGATGACTGAAAATGGAGTGGTTTTCTTTATTAAATGTGGTATAGCCTCACAGACGGATTAAAATTTGTCAATAGACAAAACACAAATTATAATCCTCTATGGAATGAAAGGAACACAAATTTCAGGGTGAAATGGAAATAAATATATTAAATAGGCAGAAAAATACTACTTGAGTCTGGAGTTGCCACCATTGCAAATGATTAAATATTTTAGCAGTTGAAGCTTGAATGCCCCACACAGTGAACGAATGTGAGGCTCTATGTATAGGTATATTTTTCCCAAAGGACATGAGAGTTATAATAGTTTATTAAATTACTGTGAAGTGTGTAGGTGTGTGCTATTCCTGATTTATCATGTAAACTTCCAAACATAAACACTGGAAGAATATCCTGTCTGTTGATCTGGAATCTTTAACAGTTTTTAATCTTTTGCTATGTTCCATTTATATATGTATATATGTATTCATATACAATATATTTCTAAATCATTGAAATTGCAGATATTACACCTGTAAGTATTTTGGCTGCTTTTTAGCATGACATCTCCCAAAACAAAACAAAAAAAATACCTTAATATAAGCATTACATTTTCTAGATCAAGATATACTCAAGTTTCCTTAACTGTCCAAAAAAGTCTTCTATTTCTTGAAAACTGAATTTGATTTTTCAGCTTAGTTGATTTTAATAAGGAAAAATTCCTCCCACTTGTCTTAACAATCTGACTTTTGGGAGAGGCCAGTCCAGTTGTACTTCCAGTGTCCTTCATTCCAGATTGGCCTAATGGACCTGAGAACCATGGTTCCATTTTGTCCTCAGGGACTCCAATTAATTATATTTCATCTCTGCATTTCATATTCATCACTTTGAAAAATTTTTTAAAAACATTATTTTTTTATTTATGTGTATGAGTATATTTCCTGGATGTATATAAGTGCACCTGTGTAGTGCAGTGCCAGTGAAGGTCAGAAGAGAGCATCAGATTCCCCCGGAGCTGAAGTTACAGATGCTTGTGAACCACCAAGAGGGTGCTGGGAATCAAATCCAGGTCTTCTTCAAGAGCAGCCGGTGCTCTTAACCACCAAGTCATCTCTCCAGCCCCTACTGAAATTTTTAACATGTTTCATTTCCTAAGTTCATTTCTATCTTCTGTCTACCTTCTGTTTGGTTGTCTGTATTCTTTCCTAAATACTTGATAATCGTCTTCATTTTTGTTTTTGTCCTTGTCTTTACTTTTCCCCTCTTAACTTCCATTAGCACCCATCTCATGTTTCATTATTTGTGTCATTATAAATTTGGGCTTTTTTAATATTCAGTTTATTTAATTCACTTTAGCATATTATGCTAAAGTATTTCAGGTTTTTTTTTTTCTCCTAGTGTTGAGTAAAACCAGCTTCATGCACTTAATTCCAGACACTGCCCCACAGCACCTTTGACTTGCTCTTTAGAATGACTTTTATAGTATAATTTTTTTTGTTACCAGCACAAACAAAAAATGATGTCTAGAAAGTTGTTTTTATAAAATGAGGTATTTTTTCAGTAATAAAGCCTTTTATGGATCAGAGGCTGTATCTTCTGATGCTTTATAGAAATATAAAAATAATTTTTATTTTGAAATAAGATTCACAAGAAACTATAAAATGTAATACAAAGAGGTCCTGGGTACCATTCCTCCTTATACCTGTGGTAATGTATAAATATGATACATTACCAAACTAAGAAATATACTAGTATAATCTATAGGCCTTAATTCAGACTCTGTGTCACTTTTAGATATTCTACTTTTGTCTAGCTCTTCGTACCTTTATCATGTAGATTTTTATGACTGCCACTAGTCAAGGTACACACACATCTGTTCCATCATCTCAGACACTCTTTACAGTCATGCCTGCCATCATTCCTGACATACCACTAGTCTGCCATGAATTTGTTGTTTCAAGGATTTTAGGCAAATGGAATTTCATGGAATGTGATCGTTTGAGATTGTGCTTTCCCACTTAGCAAGTTGCTCTTACAGCCAACTAAGTTCAAACAGTAGTTTTAAGTGTTGAGTAATATCTTTTTTAGCCAACCAGAAGGTATTTAGTTTTTTCCTAATTTCTGGCTATTAAAAATAAGGTGCCGTGCATTCATGTTGATTGTGGCATTGTTTATATAGACAAGTCATGGAATCAGTCTAGATGTCACATCATATGGATAAAGAAAATGTGGTGTATATGCACAAAGGAGTTTTTTCCAGCCAAAAAATAGGAATTATGTTGCAGCAAATTAGAGATGATTTAGTTAAGCCAAATATAAGCTCAGACAAATATTGCATGTTTTCTTTATATGTGTAATCTAAAAACAAATTACATACCTAAGACATGAAAGTAGAAGGCAGACTACTTGGGAAGAAGGAAGTAATGATGGACCGGATATGTCAAGGTACACGATATACGTGTATGAAAATGTCATAATGAAACCCATTGTTTTGAACAAGGAATATTTGCTAATAACTGAATTTTTAAAAACTATGAATATGGGGCTGGAGAGATGGCTCAGTGGTTAAGAGCACTGACTGCTCTTGCAGAGGACCCCAGAACCCACATGGCAGCTATGAACCATTCTTAACTCCAGTTCCAGCGGAATCCAAAGTCCTCTTCTGACCTCTGCGACATTGCACGACATGGGTGCACTCACAAACATGCAGGCAATATACTCATACACATAAAAATGATAAATATTTTTTAACCCCCCCCCCAAAAAAAACAATTATGTGGTATGTTTTTATGTCACTTATTTTGCCTCTGGGAGAAGTGGGCAGAAGCACATGGGATTTGGTGTGCTTTTAAAAAACATTTTTAATGTGTATGAGTGTACTGCCTGCATGTATGTAAGTGCGTCCGTGTTGTGCAATGCCCGCAGAGATCAGAAGACAGCATTAGGTTCCCTGGAACTGGTTACAGATGGTTGTTAGCAACCATTTGAGTATTGGAAACCAAACCCCAGTCCTCTGCAAGAGCAGCCAGAGTGCTTAACCTCTGAGCCATCTTTCCAGCACTGGATCTGCATTTTTTAGTTTTTGTTTTGAATTTGAGAAGGCCTATTCACCAGGTGTTACATTGGTTCCTGATGTGTGCCCAAGGGTGACACTACTACTTCAGAAAATGCACCCTTCATCTCCATTATATTCCTTTTCTTGTGTAATTCCCACTTAATCTGTTTTTGTGTGCATTCCAAAGCTGATTTTGTTGTAAGTGGCTTATTGATCCCCATGCACATAGGATTTGTAGTATCCTATACTGAACACACTAGCGGCACAGGCAGTGGGTGATTACTTCCCTTTAAGGGTGTTTCCTTCCTTTTCTTGAGGATGTAAGAAACCTGAATTTGAATTTTTTTAAAAAATTTATTTATTGGTAGTGCTGTGGACGGAGGAACAGAGGGCCTCTGAACATGCAGGAGAGAAGGCTGTGGTCTTTTGTTTTCCACCCTCCTCCCTCCAATGTTTGGTATTGAACCAGTTCTTTCTTCTTTCTCCCCTTTTTGAGACAAAAGGTCTCACTATGTAGCTCTGACTGATCTGGAACTCAGTATATGTAAACCAGGTTGACCTCAAACTCACAGAGATCCACCTACTCCTTAAGTGTTAGGATTAAAGGTGTACACAGCCACCATGTCCAGCCTGTTCTCACTGCTTTACAACAGAATTTTTCCAGTGTGGACTGTGAACAGGCTTTGGAAGATATTACATGACCTGTCAGGGTTGTCTCATCTTAAAATAGGGATGATGAAAACAAAATACCAACTTTATCACAAGGATTAAGAGAATAGTTCATGTAAAAGGTATAATCAGTATTTTAATTGCATTCTCCTTAGTTGAATTTGGGAGTAGAAATTTTGGATTTATATGAAATCCCCAGTTGATCTTAAACATGATTTCTAATTGCAACAGATTAAGAAAAGTAGGGAATATTACAGGAGAACTTTTATTTTCTCATTCACATTCTTCAACAGGTGATTTGTTTTACTTCTGAAATGTCTACTAGATCATCTTATATTTAGATAAACGTTAGGACTCAATAAACTTAGAGCAGACTACCTGTGCTTGATCACTCAGAAAACTGTAAGCGGGAGCCGGGACTAGCCATCAGGCAAGGTTAGGCCTCAGAAAATGAATGTGTAGCAGTAATGTAGCAGAACATCTACACAGTTCTCTAAGAACCAGCATCTCTTAAAGTGACAGCTCAGGGCATGCAATTATAAGTTTTCAGGGAATCCCAGTGATAATTCCCTATTGCTTATCTGGAACTTCTCAGTTCAGAAGCAGTTTACCAGCCAGGGTCATTTTTAATCTGAAACATATGCAAGGCTGGCAATATAGCAGATATACATTAGTTTTCAGGAGGAGAGCTGGGTCAGTAATTGAAGCCAGTGGGAGAAAATGTTAACATTCTCACTTTCAACTGCTTAAGAAGTACAGGGGGAGAAAAAAACCAAAAAAAAAAAAAACAAAAAAACCAATGGACGGACAGCTGAGTTGATTGATGAAATTGTGTTAAGCCTATGATGAAATGATGCATAGGCTCAATGATGATGGTGATACGAAGTGTCACTATGATAAAGTAGCATTATTAACCTGACTCTGAGCTTTCATCTCTTACTGCTTCATGAGTTGTGTTCAGACAGCCTTGTGCAGTTTTTTTTTGGAGTTATTCCAACTCAGAGTAGGAATGGGAAGAAAGAGAGAAAGCAGGAGGTAGCGCACATTTCTCTGCTTTTTGATGACTGCTACTGGGTAGCTAAATCAAGACAAGTTTTAGGTCTGGAGTCTGTAATTGGGTATGAATAGAAAAAGGGCCTGATAGGTCTGCAAACTAATCTTCCCTGGAAAGTTGGTTTGATTTCTGTGGACTCTGTTACTGACACATGCAAACTTCTAACTACTAAAGGGATTAGCTCCCTGAAGTCCTACCTGAAAGCAACCTTGAACCATAGCTACAAAACTGGTAGTCAAATATCCCCACTGAACGATATTCAATTATTTCTCTCATTGCAGATTTATTATTTTACAGAATGATTTATGCAGTGCTTTTGAAGACTGGCCATCCTCTAATGTGTAACTTGTTACACATCAGAATTCTGTTTTTAAAAATTCTTTAAGCTTAAAAAATAACCAGAGCATCTGTAGGCAAGATTATGGGAAGGTAGTCTATTCAATTTAAGTGGATCACTGCTTTTATTTTGTCTTTACGAATTTTGAATGAAAATACAGAACATAATCTAAATATGTAGAAAAATAAAATGTTGGCAAACCCGTGTAGAAGTTGTAATTCTAAGAAGTGAAGTTAATAGTTACAAATTTTTTAAGTAAATGAACTTTGCAGTGCACATTGAAAGGATAAAAATGAAAATTAAAATGTTTTATGTTAATTAGGAAGCTATTTGCTAAAAGCAGAATTATCATTTACATCCGATTTTAACTGGTTTTATCCATCTTTGTAGCTCAATAAATTCCCTTATAATGAAAACCAGTGTTATTTGGAGAAAACTTGATCTACATAAAATTAGGAGGGGACACAGATTTTTTGTTGTTTTTTTTTTTTTTACGTGCTTACTGAATTCTGAAACAGTTTTCATGAATTTGAGAGGAATGAGAATATTCAAACATAGAAAGTCCTTAGTTTGAGTGCTTAAGTTGGCAATTTTTCAATCCATTTAGTTTAATTCCATCTGCTTCCATAAAACTAAACCTTGAGCACAAAAGTTCATTATCTTTTTTATATTCCTAAGTATTACATCAATTTATTATGAATTAAATTTGAAGAACATTACAGGTTTTAAAATGTAAGTACATAAATGCCTGGTTCTTTTAAAATCCACAAATACCTAGCATCCCAAAGTAACACGTAAACAAACCTGCTGCTCAATGAATCCTTTCCAATTGCTAACTAAAAACTATCAGATCTGAAACACGGCTTCCCTGTATGTTACTGATGTAACAAAGATGAGAAATTTACCTGTTCATTTAAAACAACTTAGCAAGTTGAAGCACTTGTCTTCAGAAAAGCCAGCAGCATTTTTAAATAAAGATTTGGCCTAAGCCCTAAATCCCTTCCCCAACAGCCATGCAGCTAAACACACTCAGGGGATGTAACATAAAGGAGAAGAACATGGAGCATTTTGCACTTTTCCCCTGGTTAGTAGAAACAAGGTAAAGCAAATTCAGATCTTTGTGAATGAATGGCTGTCATGTTTAATACTTTAGAGCTCTATAAAACTAGAGCCACTGTCATATATGTTTATATAGATATATATTTTTTAATAAATTCTCTTGCTTGCTTCAAAATTTAAGGATGATCTTTTTCCTGGTCAGTCATTTCAAGGGAACAATAAATAAAATAGAAAACAATGAAATGTTTTGCATATTTCTGTGGAAGAACAGAAAACATTTATACTTTGAGAGGTTCAGAAAATTAACTGTACAGAATGAACAGCTTATATACACTATCTGTGCAGTTTTTCTTGGCTGGGGTATTTAAATGCAAGAGCTCCTCCAGGACAAGAAGTCACATTCATTCTTGTCCAAATCCCTCTGTCTCTTCTATTGCAAAAAGAAGCTTTTCCTTTAGTTGTTCATAACTCTTATATGGTGGTAGATCCAAGCGATTAAAACTGAACAAAAACAAAAACAAAATCAGATGTTTTCAATGAAATAAATTGAAGCGATTTCCAAAACAGTATTCTTTAACAGCACATTAAAAAGCGTAATACTATATGTAAAAATTTTTGTCAAACGTATTTTAACAATTTAATATTATAATTATTAGTATATTAACGTCTAAATTTCCTACAAGAATCTATTCACATTTAAGAAGATATATTTTAATGTTTTCCAGAGAATTATAAGTAATTGTAGCAATATGAATAATGTCTAGATTAAAAAAACTCAGTTTCCCTTTTCTATGCCATTGGTCATGAGTCTCCATAACTTTTCTTTGGTTAAGAATTCATTTATTTGTTTACTCATTCATTCATTTATTACTTATTTTCTGAGAAGTTTTTATGAAAGATGTTCCAGTAGCTGGTAGCACAGTAATGAAAAGTCCTAAGTCCCTTCACAGAATTTATGTTCTGGATAGGGACAGTTAATAAACACTTTTGTCTTCTCAAATAATCTCTCCACATTAGATTATAATCTCTTATAAATGGACAGTTTTTCAGTCCTACCAGGCTCAATTCCTTCTGAGACTGAATGATGGGAAAAAATACTGAAAACTAAAAGGATAACATTTGATTCTCTAAAATATGGCACTGACTGAAAGCATCAGACTCAGGTCCATGGTTTTGATCTCTATGGTGTTAGTGGCTCAGCAAAAAAAACGAGGGATCAAAACCTTTCTGTATCTTCATTTCCTTAATGTGGACATTTGTCATCTGACCCTTTGCCCCACTCATGTAAGAGTTAGGAAAGCTGAAAATTAAGAGCCTTTAGAAAACAGGAAGCAATTTCAACAGTGTTAATGCATACTATCACTAACATAGTACTTTATATTTAAAAAAATTAAATATATTGATCATAGGAATTAAGACCATATATTGCCCTTCACCTTATACTGTGCTCCAAGAGAGAGCATGACAGTGATTGAGGTCAGGAAAAATTCATTTGCAATATTGTCAGTACTATACCAGACCATAATTTCTCACATATTCTTCACACAAAGCCTCTGCCAAATTTTGTTCTGTTTACTAAACCTCTCCATTCTTCTCTTAGTCATTTATATTGTCACTATATCCTCATATATACTTCTCTATCTTCTATATCTTTAATCTGTACCATTAAAGAATTTCCTGCCCTACTCACCTTGTGACCATTTATTTTCTCCACATCCTATGTAGCTTTACATCACTACCAGAGGCACCTTGCTAAAAAGACCCACTAGCTTACACCACTCTTAGAAACTACTTGCTGCTAGGGGCGCAGAGGGTGAAAGATGCTAGATGGAAGCCTGAGTTCTTTATCATAACCTTTTTTTGTAATTTATTTTTTAAAGCATAACATATACTTCGTGATCTCTGTGATCATCTTCTGACTCTCTGACCTAGAATAGCCTGTGTATGAAAGTCTCTGTTCACGAATTCTGCCCAGATGTTTCCTCAAAGTTCACCTACAGCATCTTACATGACTGATGCCATCCTTTCTGAGGCACACCTTGTCCAGCTATGCAGTCTTTCTGAACTTCTTACATGTTTTTAGCGCTTCATTCACTAAAGGCTTTGGCTTAGAAGACCTGTTTCATAATATTCATGTGGATGACAAACAATGCCACGACCTCTCCCTTCCTTGGTCTCACTTTCAGTGACCTGTTCTATTCAGTTACTGACCCTCGCTAGGATCTTATCTTTAATTTCTCTGGCCTTCTGTCAGTCCAGTTTATTCCAATGAAAACGCAAGCCTATTGAACCAATGCTCTTTTACCACCCTATCCTATCCTCAGCCTTTTCTGGTCTTCATGTTTTGTTTATTCATAGATTAATCGTTTTATGAGGTCAAGTCCTCCACCATTATAACTATTACTCTATGAACAAATAGTATGTATCCTGAATTGACTAATCAAAACTTGAATCCTGGATGAATTCAACCTTTTGCTTTCTTGTTTCTTGTACCATAACAGATTACATTTTCCAGGGGAAGTCATTAAAATCCAGTATTATCTAACACTCAAGCCATTTTTCTCTAATAAATACTCATCTATTCTCTGAAAACTCCAAATTCTTTCTCTTAATGCTTTTCCTAGCTGGCTGTTGTGATACACACCTATGATCCCGGCACTTGAGAATCTGAGGCTCGAGGATCACCATGAGTTTGAGGCCAACATGGGCAACACAGTAAGTTCTAGGCCAGATTGGGCTACACAGCAAGCTCCTATCTCCAAAGAGTTTTCCTTCACTCTTAGCCAATGATCTCACCATATATTTTGAGAATAAGGAAACCTAGAGATAACTATTTTCTTTTTACAACATCTAAAATCTAACTCCTCTTCACTATTATAACCACATCTCTACTTTCTACTGCATCTGCTGCTTTAGGCCAGAGGTGCTCAAATTTTTTGGTTGCAGAAGTATTTATGCTCTTAAAAATACAACTCTGGGTGAGACAATGTGAGAGATAAATAATGCCTAGCTAGTTTTGAAAACGAGAGGGAACCATATTACTCCTACAACCTACTGACAAATTATACATAGCAGATCAAGAAATGTATGTCTAGGTAAGCTTTATCTGAGAAAGGACAGTTTTTGCTCCTTGCCCTCCTAGGTCGACTAGTTCCAGGGGACTATGAGCATCTCTCAAAATGCCCTGTAATTGTGGTGGGTCACCTGTCCTCTTGATCAAGGAGGCCAAGGAG